TCAAATCAGGTTTCGAACCAAGTTTAATATAAATATAATATGTGCCCCTTTAATATTAACTATGTAAAATCATTTGGCATAAAAATAACATCTAACTTTAAATTTATTTAGAGTACATGCATAAGGTTTACTATTTAAGGTTAAGCTTATTTAGAGTGTATGCATAAGGTTTACATGCAAAAATCGTATAATATAAGATTTTGTATGCTTCAGTCAATCAGCTTTTAGTATAATAATAAAGTATATGATTGCTTTTTTATTAATAATACACCAGAGATAAAGCTGCTTTAGCTTTATTGAATCTATAATGTTAAGCTATTTTTAACTTCAAAAAAATTTCATTAATGAGTTTAACATACCTCATCAAAATTAAACTGACTTTGCTTTTTTAACCATAATATTGGAATGCTTAGTAACTTATTCTTTTACACGTAGCATTTTTATATTTAAAATATATCGCATATTATAATTTTACTCTACACAAGAAGAGAAATTGCTTTATTATTATGCATAATGATACATAAGCAATATGTTTACAAGTCTAATACAAGTAATTCAACATACATACATATCTAAAACAATTAAAATTGTATGATTCTCAAAAAAAAAAAAAAAATCAAAAAAATTAAAACTGCATAATCTTGTATATAATGATAATAATGCAGAAGAGAGATTGCTTTATTATTATGCATAATGATATATAAGCAATATGTTTACAAGTCTAATACAAGTAATACAACATACATATATTATCTAAAACAATTAAAATTGTATGATTCTCAAAAAAAAAAAAAAAAAAATCAAAACTGCATAATCTTGTATATAATGATAATAATGCAGAAGATTTTTTTTAAATACAAATGTTAGTCTTAGAAAATTTTGTACTTAGAAACATGTTCCGTATAAACAGCAAAGATAAACACTAAGTTAGTAAGTTTGAAAATGTGCATATATAGAAAACAATAGTATAGCTAGTGAACAAGAAAAACAAGAAGAAACTTACCTTAAAAGTTTAAATAATCCAAGCTATGTATAGAATCATTTTAAAGTTTTAAAAGATAAGATCCATGTCGAATATCAAATATGTAATAGAAAAGGAAAAAGTATAAAGTACAAGTTTCATGGTACCACAAGCAATATGATATATCACTTAGAAAGTGAATATGAAATTACAAAAAATAATCCCACAGGCTATATAAGTTTTTTTTTTTTTAATTCATAATGTAATCGTTTAAAGAAAATTATTAATAGTAAATAAATTTAGATGGAAGATCGAAATATTGAAGGTTTTTTTGAAGTTGCTTGCAAAAAACAACCTAAAATTGAAATTGCTATATTAACCTGGATAATTGATGACTGTCAACCATTTTATCTTTTGCAATTTAAGACTTTTAAATCATTTATGGAAGTGGCTTGTCCTGAATTTAATGTTCCAAGTGATGACAAAGCACAATGTATAATTAATAATGCATATGTTCAATCTATTGAACAACTTACAGAATTATTGCAAGATACTTATTCTGTTAATATTACTACAGATTTGTGGTCTTCACATAGTGATGAACTATATATTGGAGTTATGGCAAGATGGATAGATTCTAAAAACTGGTCACTTAAAGAAGTGTTATTAGTTTGTGAAAAAATTAATGAGAGGCATACTGACAAAAATATTAAAGATGTTATAGAGGAAGTAATTAGACAGTTTCAACTTAACCAAAAATTATTCGCTGCCACTACAAATAACGGTGCAAATATTGTAAAGGCTATTTGGCTAATGGAAATTTCACATGTACTATGTGCTGCGCACACTCTTCATCTAAGCATAATTAAAGGCCTTAACGCTGCTAGCATATTCAAAAAGTGTATTACCAATCTTATTTTATTTTTTAATAATAGTCCCAAAAATACCAAATGATTTTACATAGTTAATATTAAAGGGGCACATATTATATTTATATTAAACTTGGTTCGAAACCTGATTTGA